GGGTGCAAGCAAAGAGTTGTCACTAACTCCCAATCTAGCAAAATGCCTGCCACAGCTGGGGACTCAGAAGCTCTTTGTGGAATTAATGAATCCTTCAGAGCTGTGAGGCTCAGGAGGTTTTAGAAAAGTAGGCAAAGGAACATCCATACAAAGGTATGGAGCTGAATGCCCTTTCAAGGCTTGTGTATCTCTAGGGATGGGAACTCTGCTCACCCCTGGGGATGGGCAGTCCTGCTCTAGTCTCTGGAGTTGAAAAGTGGTGTCTCTGGCCCAATTCCTGGTCCCTCCCACAGAGATGGCCACTTGGCTCAAACACACCGTAAAGATGGAAGAGGTTAAGGGTTTAGGCGAACTTCCTACTCCACATAGGAATAAGGGCCTCTGGGATTTTTCCACCTCTGGCCTCAAGAATCTGACCCATTGAGAAGGAACTTTGGACAAATTCTCTCCTATCTGAAAAACTGTTCAGAAACTATGGCAGTTAATGAAACTGATTATAGCTCAGGGACTTTGATATTTTCTCCAAGGACATGATTTCAGTACTAAAACTCAAGGAAATCCCTGGTATCTGCTCGCCTTTGCTCAGCAGAACTAAGCACTGATTTGAGTGACCTCTGAGGCTCCCACAATCACAGCGGACTCAGGATCGCAAGGCTTTGGGGCTGTGGTGGAGAGTCACCTGCTAGAGGCTGAAAAGGACCCAGGTGCTCTATTCCCCACTGTGTGGCCTTGAGCACATCTTTTCACAGCTCTGTTTCTTCACCAAAAGGACTGCTTAGAATTCCTTAGCAGGAGAAGAAAAATTCCCTCCCTTCCACATCCAACTCCAGTCAGCTGGCTGGCTTCAGGAGTGCTTTTGGAAGCATCTATCAGAAACTCAAACTGGGCCCTCCCTGGTGGCGCAGCAGGTTAAAGTGTAGCACTGTGAAGCTGGCCTCTGCTCCTTCTGTGCGAGTTTGATCCCCACCCTGGCGGTGGTCCACATGGCCCTGCAGACTTCTTGTCTCACTCCCCTCCCACTGTTCCCCTCAGCAGTGTACTTTGTTAATCTGCCTGTTCTGCTTCCCACTGTCTCTGGTGAATGCTCTCACCACCCCTGCACCTCTGGTCTGTACCCCAGAATTAGCTCAGCAGAACTAAACACTGATTTGAGTGACCTCTGAGGCTCCCGCCATCAGAGCAGACACAGGATCGCAAGGTTTGGGGCTGTGGTGGAAAGTCACCAGCTAGGAGGCAGACAGGCCTTTATGCATAAATAAATCTATCTTTAAAAAAAAAAAAAAAAAACAAACCTCAAATTGACTGACATGAGATTTTTCTCCTTACCTGAACATCAAGAAATGGGCTTATTGGGTTGTTTGATTCAGCACTGAATGTCTTCAAGGACTAGTGCCTTCTCTGATCTGCCATCCTTGCTTTGCTACGGGGTTGGGGCAATCAGGATATGGCTCCAGAGACAGCCAGTTGTATCTTCCCAATTTGCAATTCCCCTAAAACAAAAAACCTTTCCCAGACCTCAAACTTACTGGCTAGAACAGGGTAACATGACTCTTCTTGAGTCAGTTATTGACGAAAGGGAACAAGCTACTATGACTTGTTTGGAACACGCATGTGGCGAAATGGATGCCTACCCCGAGTATTCAATAGGACAGCAAAGACCATCATTTCTAGGAGCTGACACTCTTACCTTATAGTCACAAGTGGCACTTTGCCCCGCAGGGCGTTAGCATTCAGGATTAGAAGCTAGTCGAGGTACAGTTTCAAGGTCACTGAACTTAGAGTTCCCTAAGTCCATCCAAGTCACCACCAAAGTGAGATTCCTAGGAGTCAGGTCCTTCAGTCATTCTGGGTGGGTGTGGAGAGGATAATGGAATGAGCACCTATTGCATGACATAATTCAAATAATACCTCACAGGACCCTTGTGATGGTACCTGTAAAAAAGCCTGCAGTAGAAATACTACTTTAGTCACAGTGGTATATTAGGGATCAGTCATCCTCCCACTTGAAATTACCAGAAAAACTAGATAAAATATATGAAACAGTGGTGCTTAATAGGCAGTTTCAGTTTGAGATGATAAATAAGTTCTAGTGATGGCCAATGGTGAAGGATGCTAAACACTGTGAATGTACTCAAATCTCACTGACTTGTACACCTTCAAGTGGTTAAAATGGTAAACTTTACATATATCTGACAAAAAATTATGAAGAGATAGGAATAGTTTTAAAAAGATTTGAATCAAATTTCTAGAGATGAAAAAACACTGGATTAACAGAAAATTAGATATGGTAGAAGATTAATGATTTTGAAAGTATAACAGTAGAAGCTATCTAAATGAAGCAGAAAAAAATAATTAAAAAAAAAGGAGAAAATGAGGAACATCATTGGGTAGGACATCAGTGGTGGACAACTTCAAGTAATCCAACATGGGTAATCAGAAGCACTAAAGGAAAGATGAGATAGGGACTGAATAAAAATTTGTATAATGACCTAAAACTTTCCAAATATGCTCGAAACAATATACAGTTCTGGGGCCTTCCTGGTGGCACAAGGGGTTAAAGCACAGCACTGTGAAGCTATCCACAGGCACTGCAGCCAGGGAGCTGACCCACATGGCGTGGCAGACCTCTCCTATCTTCCCCTGCTCCCCTCAGCAGTATATTTCAGTAGATCTGCCTGTCCTGCTCCCCCTCTGTCTCTGGTGAATCTTCTCACCCCCACAACTCTAGCAGAAAAAGTGTAAATTAAGTGCACATTTTTCTGCCTGGTCCCAGCCATGGTGAAGATGTAGAGTCAGCACACAGTTGATCTGACTGAATGACGTCGCTGAGCCCAGGAACAATACTGCCTTTGTAAAAAGTTTGGAAATTGCTGCCTCCAGACACGTTAGTAACTTCAGAGAATGTTGACTTTGAGATCTTGATACTGCTAAAACTCCCAGTTCCCTGATGATAAAATTCTAAACAGATAAATTTAACAACCCTCTTTTTTCCTCAATGCATAGACAATATCAGATAGCCATATCCAGATTTTCTTTGTAGAAACCCTCACAATGGTTCCTATGTCCTCCTTGCAAACTATATATAATCCTTGTTGAGAAGCTCAGAATTAAGTTAGCTATTTCAGAGCTACGTGCAGGCTATTCCATCAGTCTCAAGTCTTTAATAAACTCAATCACTTTTGCTTGTTTCAATTTACTTAAACTGACAATAGGAAAAAAGAAACAACAAACAGAACTAATAGGAAACAAATGGCAAGACTAGAGTTGATTACTAGGCAAATCAGCATCACACTGATTGTAAATGGTCTAAACCACTGAAAATGCAGAGATTTTAAGATTGGTTTTAAAAAAGGCAAAATCAAGTTATATGTTACCTATAAGAAACATAGTTTAAATATAAAACTGCAAATAGGCTAAGACTAAAAGGCTAGAAAAAGATATTTTTTGTTAACATTAGTCTAAAATAAAGGTAAGTTTGGCTATATTAACATCAGGTCAAGTAGATGTTAGCACAAAAACTACGAGGGATAAATTCATCCAAAGGACAATATGCATCTATCAGTTTCAAAATACACAGAGCAAAAACACTTCAAAGAGAAATATAATTATCTATAATTACAGCAAAGTTCAATACTCCTCTCTCAATATTGATAGAAAAGTAGGCAGAAAATCAACAGGAATATCACAGACATGAATACTACAACCAACTAACTCTATCTGATTAACATTTAAAGAACACCTTTTTAAGAATAGCAGAATACATTTTATTTTCAAGGGTTTATGAAACACCAAAACAGACCATACTTTAAAAGGCCACAAAGCAAGTCTCAATAAATTCAAAAGGATTTAAGCCATACAAAGTTTTTGCTCATTATAAAAATTAGAAATCAGTAAGCGTAAGACTTAAAAACAAACAAAAAAACCAAAAAACCTTCCTCAATATCTGGTAACTAAATAACACGTTTCTAAATAACACATGAATAAAAAACAAAACATAGAAAGTATCTGAACTGAATGACAATGAAGACATAACATACCAGAATTTCTGGGATTGTTGCTCAAATACTAAATACCTGTGTAGGGGTAAGAAAAGGACTCAAACAAAGACCTTGACTTCTAAAATAGAGCAAATTGAAGACAGCTGTTTAATCTCATCATTCAGCACAGTATTGAAGGTTATAGTCTGTGCAATAAAAAAACAAAAATAAATAGAAGGAACCCAGATTTACAGGAAGAAGTATCACTGTCTTTATTCATAAAGATGATTATCGATATAGGATCTGATGGGATCTAAAAAAATAAAGCTATTAGAATAAGCAAATTCAGCAGGTTTTAGGATATAATGTCAATATACATACATATATAAGCAATATAATGTAGTTTTATACATCAGCAATATAAAGTAGAAATATACCATTTATAACAGCATCAAAAATATTAAATACTTGGGAATAAATCTGACCAAAAGACTGAAGATCTATGTATGGAACACTATACACTAATGTTTAAAGAATACAAAACTCTATACGAAAGGAAATATAACTTATTCATGGGTCAGAATTCTCGACATTGTTAAAATGTTAATTCTTCCCAAATCAGTCTTATAGAGTTAACACACACCCATTTGAAATTCCAGTAGGTGTTTTTATAGAAAGTGAAAATTCACATGGAACTCAAAGGGCCTACGAACTCTGAAAGAGAAGAAAATTAGAGGGCTAACTTGATTCTAGGAATTATTATTATGAAGGTACAGTTTAAAACAAACATAATTATCAGTACAAAAAATAGACTAATGGGATGGAAATTTCAGAAATAAAAAACACATATATGGACATCTGGTTTGTCAAAGACACAAAGGCAAAGAGAAAAGATAACTTTTTTAACAAATGTCACTGAAATGGATGTCCATGAGTAAAAAAATAAACAAGGATTCATACATTCATACTTTATACCAAATGTTAGTTATTTGAAATGAATCATTGAGCTAAATGTGAAATTAAAACTATAAATTTCTAAAAGAAAGCAAAGGACAAAATCATTGTAATCTTAGATATACCAAAACCAAAATCCATAAAAGAACAAACTGATAAATTGTTTAAAAGCAAAAATTTCTGCTCTCCAAAAGATACTGTTAAGAAATGAAAACACAAGCCAGACTGGGAGAAAAATCTTTGCCAAGTGTGTATCTGATAAAGGACCTAAATGCAGAATATATAAAAAATTCTCAAAACAATGAAAAAGTCATCTAGATTAAAATTGGGCAGAAGATCTGACCACACACATCACAAATAAGATATAAAATGTTAGATAAGCACATGAAAAGATGCTCAACATAATTTGTCAGTAGGGAAATGTAAATTAACAATCAGATATTATATAACTGATTGAATGAATGACTAAAATCAGAAAAAGTTACTCACACCAGTGTCACAACGTGGAGGAACTGGAACCCTCAAATGCTGATGGAACATAAGCTACAAGTACCTTGGACAAAGAGTTTGACCATTTAGTTTAGGCATCTTCTTTAGCTCTTGGATAGAGTCCAAGATGTGCAGACAGTAATCTAAGCCGGGCCTGTCAGAAACCTTTTCTGGGACTTACCTATACTGAATACTTACTATACTTTAGTAAGTAGAAAAGGAAATGCTTTTTTCTTCTGCATTTTCCAAACTTGCAGGCCATGAGAAACACAGTGGAGCAAGAGTCCTACAAGTCTTTGGGTCTATACAGAACTGAAGCTAAATTACTCTTTTCCTTAATGACTTAGAAACCAATCAGTTCCCCTTGGGGCTTAACCCAGTTTGACCTGTTTCTACTGCTTGCAACCAAAAGGAGTCTTCCATGGAAAATACATGAAGTGAGCTAGTGATATGTTGGGAATATAAAACTAGATCTCACTACTACCAAAGTCACACTTGACTGCCATTTCTGGCTTGTGGCACCAGAGGAGCAAATGCTTGTGACTCAGACTGGGGGGACTGGGCAGGTGGAAGCAGGGTGCATTTGCATCAGGCAGGGAGCAGCAGTGGCCCGAGTCTCAGAAGCCTGACACAAGATTGAGCTTGGAAGGAAATCATTTCGCTCACCTCTTCCCACTTGGGGAAACTAGCTCACCTCAGGCCCCTAACCCCTAACACTTGCAGGTGATTCAAGAGACGTGACAACAGGACAATGGCATATTTATTTACAATTGGATCAAAAAAAGGTATACAGGCATTTTTTTAATTAAAAATAATAATGATGATAATTAAAAAATTCTGAAAAATCGACGATGTTTGAACCCTTTATAAGGAGTTCAATCCCCCACTCCCCCCTCCCCTCAAAAGAGAATCTCTTAGGGGAAAAAAATCCACGATATGAATGAGCAAGACTGTCATCATTTTTTACTGCTTGGGTTCCCTTTTTTCTAACCTGATTCTTGGTGGATGCTGCGTGCATTGCGGCATCACTGTGAGGCAAAGTCCACAAGTTCACTGGTTTGATTGTGGAGGTGGGGAGGGGCAGCTGGGAGAGTTTGGGGGTTGAAGGGTGGGGTATGTTCCTAGCTTAACCAGCATCCTGAGCATTATCTTGTGGGGGTCCCAAGGGGGCTGCAGCAGGGGTGAGTGGCTGTTACCTAATCCCATGGTGGGCTTGGTCTCTTGCAACTTTAAGAGCATTTGCTCTATGACATGCATGGAGCAGGCAGGGGTTAAGAGTGGGCATTTATGGAGCAGCCAGGCCTGCCCTGTTAGCTCCCTCCAAGACTCCCTGCCTGTTCTTGGGAACTGGTGAATGATAGAACTTACCTTCCATCTTCCTTCTTACATGTAGTTTTCTGGTGTCCTCAAAAGAAGGCAAGAGCTTAGATGGGAAGTGGAGGGGATGGGTCTGACTAAAAGACCTGTGAATGGGCATAGAGGCTGGGTGATGTCAGGGAGAGGACGACTTTCCAGTCACACGGAGGTGGGGAACTGAGGTTTCCAGGCCTTGCTCTGCCCTGGGTACTGGAGAGGAGAGTGTCTGCCATGGCACAACTTGCAAAGAGCACAACCTCCTGAGGAAAAGGTTGGAGAGCCATCCTGAGGGGTGAGGAGGCCCGTCCCCGATGTGGATGCCTAGCTCTGGAAATACTTGGCCCCAGGTCCAGGGTTTCTTGGCACAAAAACAGTTCACTGCATGTCTCTTCTCTAGTCCAGCCAACTCCTGCTGCTCTGAGCACGGGCTCCTGCTGCCCTGGGGCACTTGGCCCCCAGTACTTTCAGGGGATTTCCTTGTAGCAGCCAAGACTTGGGCTTGCTCCTGGTGAGAAGATGACCTGGAGGCCTGGCTGGACGATCTGCCTTGGGGCAGCTCTGGGGGTGACTGGGAGCAGGAAGAGGGAAAGGGCTGGTAGTGGCTAGTTGGCACTGAGGATGCACGTCCAGGCTAGAGCTGTGCTTTCTCATGGCATCAACGGCGAAGACGGATGGCAAGAGGCTTGGAAAACTCACTGAAGCTCCAAAAGGCCTGGTGTTTCCTCTTCCAGTTAGTTGTGGGGTGGCCAACAGCCCTGAGGAACTGAGGTGGATACAGTGACCAAAACCCAGTGTCTTGGTGGATTTATCATCCTGGATCCATTTGATAAAACAACAACAACAACAACAAAAACTAAGGAAAAAAACCCCAAACCAAAAAACAAACCTGGATAAACAGGTTTGAGAGTTCCCACTGGAGGGTACTTTCTTAGCTTTGACGAAAAACAACCCACAAAAAATTCAAGCCCCACAGAACTGGAATAAGATGATGAAGAAAAATGCAAGATTTATCTACAGGTTCCCCGCCCCCCACGCAGCCCCAGGATCCAGGAACACTGTGCCAGGAGTTACATTCCAAACGAGCAGGAGTTATTTTATTTTGTGTGCCTGCAGTTCCCCACGCAGGGTGGCTTCCTGTCTGAGGAAGGAGTGGGCCTGGCCATGGTCCACCCCCATTAGTCTATCTTCACAGCAGCGTAGATCTTGCGGACAAACATGTAGGCCGCATAGAAGCCGATGGTGCCCGTAAGGAGCCAGAAGGACAGGACCATGAGGGCCGTGTAGCCAAAATAGAGTAGAGAGGGAATGAACTCTACGATGTCCAGCTGAGGTCCAAGGTGGGGAGGGAAAAGAGACAGATGTTTAGTGTTTAGTGCAGCCTGTCATGACACCTGCGAGGCCCCCCACCCTAATTGATCTCATGGTGAAGTTGAGGCCGTGAAAGGGGGAGTCGCTGACTCCAGATGAGCAGTGAGGGGCTAGTGGGGCTGCACTGAGGTCAGGGCCCACACCATACCTTGGATACTCACTGGAGGTTATGAATCCATTTTACAGATGAGATACAGAGCAGTTAGACATGAATAGGGCCTCTTATAAAGCTTAGATTTCCAAGCCATAGTCTCCGCTATTTAACTGATATGCAAATTAATGAGAATGGCTGTGTCCCAATAAAACTTTATAGAAACCAGCTCAATGGCCCATGGGCTACAGTTGCCGACCCCTGAACTAGGTGACTGTTGGGATCACTGTGGGAGAGGAGGGCTATGTCAGTAAGCTGTAAGGTTACATGTAGTATGGCTGGAGGCCCACACAAAATTATCCTTATGGTACTTTCTAATCTGCCATCTCTGGGAAGAGGTATGCCAGCTTCAACCACTGACCTATGAGTCTAGTCTGGAAGCACATCCTGGTTGTAAGCAGGGCACTGAGTACTTGTGGGGTCTGGAGAGCCAGGGGACAGCAGGTGTTAGCTTTGGAGTTGAGGGGCCCACAGGAGTGAGCCCAAGCTCCTCAGCCCACCTGATTTATGTGTGAATTGACCAAAACTGTAGCGGGGATTTGTTTGTAGCCTTGTTCCTGCCATTCTTTGGAGATAAGGAGCTTTTCCAAATGTGCCCGGGTGCATAAATTTGGGTTCTAAGGGCTATGCCAGCATTTTCTGCTTTCTGCCTTAATGTCACTTCTTATCTACATTCCTTATTCTCTCATGCACTGGTCTCTGTTCTAGCCTGTATCACTGTCCGATTATTCCCTTTAAAAAGCACTGTATGGTGATACATTTCCTTTAACTGCTGCTTTGGCTGTTCACCACAGGTTTTCGTTGCAATATTCTCATACAGACATGCTGGAGGTTTTCTGGTCTTTCAAACATAAATAAATTCTCTTTTTCCTGAAAAGATGCATGTTTTAGAGCAGAAAGGTTCTAGAAAGGCTTTGGTGCTCTCCATTCTTGGTGTGAAGGTCCAGCTTTTCCCTTAGCAACCTCTTGTCTGAAAGGACTGAGAGTCTCCCCCATAGGTAGTACCTTGTTAACAAAATAAAAGATGGCATAGACCAGGACGTAGAATGCAGATCCCCCGGACACCAGGAAATTCCTCCACCACCAGCGGTAATCCTGAGGAGGAAAAAGAGAAGGGTCATCACTATCTCCAGGCAGAACTTCTCCCCAAGTTTAGAGTGTGCGAGGGCTAGGAGCCCTGTACAAGAGCAGTAACATTTAGGATGATGGGAATGCGTGACATCTTGACTGGTGGCAATAATACCACCATAGTTCTAAAATCTTACAGAATTGTAGAGTCAAAGGGTGAATTTTATTTTTATTAATTAATTTCAATTTAAAACAACAAAAGGACAGCAACAACTAACATCCCTGTGCAAATGCTCACCGTGTGCCAGGCCCGCTGTACGTGCTGTATCTGGTCGGCTCACCCAGTCCCTGTGGCAACCCCGAGGAAGTGCTCTCGCTATCTGTTACATTAGCAATGAGCGGAAGCAGAGGCTAGGCAAGGCTAAGGTCCTGGCCCAGCCCTGTCCCAAAACCCTCGCCTTACCCACGTCATCAAGAGCTCCTTCCAGAGAGAGGGCCGCCCAACATACACCAGCTCTTGGAGAAAGCATTACTGGAATGGGCTCAGTACTGACAATTGTGCTGTCTTTCCATCAAGTCCAGTGACTAACCCGCACAGCCATGCTGACACAAGGGTGAACTGTAGTCTACAGTTGAATAAAGGAAGGCTTGGAGAGGGGAAGAGACGTACTTGTCCCAGACCAAGGCAGAGGAGAGGGATCACAAGGGAAACCCAGACAGTCTCAGTGATCCATTCTATGCTGAACTCAGCTCCACCCTTCCTCAACTCCTCGTCCCATTCCCCTTACCTCTGCACACAGCTGGAAGTACACCATGACGATGCTGATTTGGGAGCAGGACACCACCAGGATGATGAAGACAAGGAACAGGAAGCCAAAGAGGTAATAGAACTGATTCTCCCAGATTGCCTGTGGAAATACCACGGCTGGCTTTTAGCTAGCCTGCCTCCACCCAGCTGCCTTTCCCCTGGGCATACCCTGCTTGTTCTCAGGAAGGCCAGCCCTCAGTCAGGGCTGGCATACCACCCAGTGTCAGGGCAGGAGTGCAGATACCATCATGACACCGTATGTGGGTAATGGCTGGTCCCTCCCCCTGGAGCAAAGGGTGAGTCAGGTGCTTCTTAGGCAGGTGCTGGGGGCAGGGCTGTCTGTCTGCAATGGTGGGGATGGGGGGGCGGGTCCCAGGGGTAAGTTGGAAGCTTGTGGAAAATAATGGCTCCCATTCCAGTCAAAATTACACAGCAGTCACCACCACATAGGGCAGCTAGGTGTATGCTTTGTATGTACCCTCACAGGTGAGCCGGCGAAAGTGTGGCTTTTTATGACTTGGGAAGTCAAAGGCTCACAGAGACTGGTGATTGCCTAGGGCCAAACAGAGTAGAGGTGGCTCCCTTGAGAGGGCAGCGGATATATCCTCTAGATAGGGCTGGGAATCTCGACCACTGCAGAGCAGGGAATACCTGTCCAGCACTGACTTGGTGCAAGGCACTCTGTGTTGAGCACCAAGCTGGGTCAGTCACACATAGATGACCCGGAACTTCCATTTGACATGTCTGGAATAGGAGTAATTTTGACAACACTCCCTGAATGCCAGTCCCTATGCCTTCTGTAAACATTTTTGCATTCCAACCTCACAATGATCCTGAGAATTAGGATTCGTTCTTCCACTTTTCTGAGGATTTGAGTAACTTAGGTAAAGATGCACAGGGGTTCAGAATTCATCACTGATTCAACAATGATATCAATGATGGTGGTGACTGGCTGCAGTATCATCGCGTTTCCTCTTACGGAGCCCTTCCCACATTCCAGACCTGGAAACACCTTATTTCCTCTAACCCACGAGGTGTTCTGAGAGACAGACTATCACCCCACCATGAGGTGAAGAATGAGGGTTCCAAGAGGTTAAAGGGCCGTGTGGAATTTCAGACACTAAGAGGCAGAGTGTGGAGGGTGGAGGCTAGCTGGCAGGGGTGCAGGCTGTGTGTGGGAGGCTGGGAGGGGGCGCACAGGGCGCACTACTCACACTGAAGATGAAGAAGAGCTCGATGAACATGGCACCGAAGGGCAGGATCCCAGCCATGAGGATGCTGCAGCAGACAGGAGGGTTAACACCACCAAGACACTCTGTGGTGGGACATGCCAGATGCCCTCCCTGGCCGGCCAGTATGAATGAGACTGGGTAATTCCTTTGGCCGTCTTCGTAACCATTATAGCCCCTTGAGTGGTAGGTAGGGTGGGGCTCATTCTCCCTACACTACAGATGGAGTAACTGCGGTACAGAGAAGTGGTCTTTCCATACCCGCCCCTCCCCTGTCCTGGTTCCTAGGCTGACCCAAGCCTGGCTACCAGAACACCAGTCACGGCACCTGGTGGGGAGGGTCCCCCACTAAGGAATAGCTCAGGGCAGTCTTCCACTCTAGAGGCCTGCTGGCCTTGCCCCTGTAGGAGACTCACCCCACGAACCGGTTCATGTACCACCGTTGCTCAGGGATCTGCCGGGGGATCTGGTTGGTGCGCACAGGGTTGTCATAGGGCTGCTTGCGGAAGCCGAAGTAGTAGCCCAAGTAGACAAGGGGCAGGGAGATCCCGAACCACATACACAGCAGGGCCACCATAGTGGGGAAGGGCACCTGTGGGCACAGTGCTGTGAGGCCCCACAGAGCCCTGATGCCCAAGACGGGCCCACGGAAGGAGGTGCCCAGCAGGAGCACTGCGGTGAGTGAGTCCTGCGACACCCCCACCTGGGGCTCCTGGCCAGAACCTCAGTCTGGGGGAGAGCAGAGTGCAGACGGAGAAGCGCTTGGACGATGAAGAGGAGGAGGAACATGGCACCCCACTGGAGCTGCCATCCAGGGAGGAATTGGGGAAAGAACAAGGAAGAGGGCACTGAGAACGTGAAGGGAATACAGTCCGAATGAAGGGAAATTACGTGTGGTTTGTTAGGAAATGGAAAAAGGGGAAACACAATTGCAAAGAGTGTTCCTAATTTTGTTAAAATAAAACACCACAATATACCCCTGTGAAAAAAAGCAGGCGATAGAATGCTTTTTAATATGTGTGCACAGCACCCCACTTCAATAAAAACACACTAATATTTACACGGGTGTGTGCCCACGAAGGCTCCCGCTGCACCAAATACAGGCTCAGCTAGGATTTGGGAAACAAAAACTGATTTTTCACAGTCTTTATTTTCTTCTGTATTTTTAAAACAAGAGTCATGCAAAAAGAAATGAGTTAATAGAAGTGTTTATTATTCCAAAGTAAGCACCACATAAATGGCTGCTATTATTGTTTTGTGATTTTTAGGTTATATCATTCATTTAAAATATCTAAAAAGAGGAGAAAAAACTTAAAAACAAAGACTAAACATCTGGGTTAACTTCTCTATACTTTACAAAATTTCTATCCTGAGCAGTAAGCTGGTAATTGGCAGGAAAAAGGCTTACAGAGAGTAGGCACGAAGTATAGAAAGAGGAAGTGCCTGACAGTCCTTCCTGAGCTACTTCCTGGACTACGGTGAGCACCGTCTCCAGTAGCTTCTGACAGCTACCTCCGGGGGAGGCCGCTCTACCTACACCTCCTCTACTGCAGCTTGGTCTCATCTCCCATAACTGAGTTTAGAGTTCTACTGAGTCCCAGGGCTGGCAGGATCAGCACCCCAAGGACAGGACAGCCCTCCCACCCCCTTCTCTGCCTCCAAGAACAGAACAGAACAGAACAGATGCAGGGCAGGGACATTAGGCGAGCTTGTTTGGAGATAATGATCTGATCAATTCATACCAGAAGCTTCCCTTGGTTGAGAGAAGGGGAATTCCCCAGTTGGCCCCTGGTCTGTGAAAACCTCCCAACAGAGAAGTGAGCTTTGAGCAGCTGTCTGAAAGAGCCCACAGGAAGGCGAGAAGCAGGGCCAGGCCCAGGGCAGATGGATGGGCTGAGCTGGGGAAACCCCAATCAGCCCACAGCCCCATGGCTCAAAATGGAACTCTAGGGATCCAGAAAAGGGAAGGGAACAGCCGGACATGACCTGTGGGAGTGGGGCTGAGCACTGGCACTCCATCGTTGGGCAAGTGTGGGCTGAGGGGAGGGCACTTACTGCTCCCGATGAGTGCTTTCCCCAGATGAAGCAATTCAACACGAAGCAGATGCCAAAAACCACACCAGGGTACAGCGTTGCAGTCTGTAAGTGAGAGATCAGGTTGGAAAGCTCCTTTGGGGAGCTCCCACTTATCCCAGTGGGGTTCCCAGACTAGAGGTTCTCATACCCTTCCTTGTCCTTTAGACTCAGCTAATGGATCATTCCTTCCAGAAAGCATTCCAGACTCCCAAATTAAGCAGAGCCCATTTTCTGTCTTCTTCAGTCTCAGAACTGCCCCTCCTGCGCCCTCATTCACCGTTACGTGATCAGTGCCTAAATGAACCCCCTGCCTTCAGCCCATGAGGAGTCTGTCTACCCAGTTACCAAACTATTCCCAGTAGTCAGAACACAGCAGTTGCTCAATTTTAACACCCAGGAATGAACAAAACATTTACAAAACACGTATGTCTGCGCCCCAGCCCAAACTGCTTGGAGTGGAGGGGAAGCGCTGAGTCTTAGGGGCGGCTGGTGCCGGCCTCCACACCTACGGTCTCACCTAATACTCCTCCCGGGCCTGGATGGGAGGCATTATTTCCATCCTCTTTTAAAAAGGACACTGGGGCCCAGCACTGTTTAACACACCCCTCAACTTCACAGTTAAGGGCGGAGCAGAGGTCCAAACCCAGGCAGTTGGACACTAGAGCTCCAGCTTCCCACTCCTGAGTCCTCTGTGCTCTGCCGTTCAGCCTCTGCTGTCTCGGTCATCATTGGCTCCATACCCAGTCACTGTTACTGCTGCTGCATGTCCCTCTCCTTGCACCTTTATGTAGGGCAAGTTCAGGAAACCTGCAGCCTCCTGTACACAGGCTCTTTCCATCCACACAACTCTGAGGCAGGTGAACCTCTCTCATAAGAGATCCCCAAGGTAACCCAAGAATGCCAACCATGGAAAAACAGGCAGGACAGGAAGGAATCTAGGAGAGTCCAAAACCTGAAGCCCCTCGTCTGGCCTGCTTCTGTCTATCTGAAACTTTGTCCTCAAGGCCCGGGCAATGTCATCTCCTCCTTTCTTGAGTGCTCCTGCTTTAGCTAGTGTAGTAGGGAACTCCTTATCTATCTTGCTGGTTGAAATTCATGGACTGAGCACTGCTAAATTTAGGAGGTAAGAATAAGGACAAGTTCCAGGGAGGAAGACAGGCCCATAAACAGAGAACAAAGTATGAAAAGGCCTTGTACAAAAAGGCCTCTGGGGAGCTAAGGAGAACACTGAGGTCAGAATGGGCCCTGGAGGGAGGGGAGAGGGCGATGACACCAGAGTGAAGACCTCAAGGGGGAGGCGAGGAGAATGAGGGGTGTATGCCAGGGTAGAGGGTAGCGGAGGCTGGGGGGAGGGGGGCAGTTGTGTACCCGCACTAGTGTGGCCGGCAGCAGATGCCCACCTGTGGAGGAAGGCAGAGCACCAGGGAAGGGTCAGAAGCTTGCAGAGAGCCCAGGAAACCTAGGACAGTCAAGGGTCCAGGCGAGAGGTGAAGATGCCTAAACCTTCATGGTAAGAGTCCTGGAGATAGAGAGAATGGGGGATTCATGGACTATTTATCAGAAAGCCCCTCTATACCTGATGTCTCAGAGGAGGGAAGAAGGAAGGAAGCTACCCAGATAGCTGGGTGAATGCTGGGGCCACAGGAAGCAAAGAGGGATGTGGGGAAGAGTTTGGCAAGACCTGAGGCAGATCCTGGAGATCTGCTAGAGTCATCAGAGAGAAAGGTTGGGCGTATGCCCCTATTGATAGCACTGTGGCCTGAAAACATGCTTAATGCATTAAGAGTTTAGGAGCCTTTTTTGATCTTTCAGGAATAATCACCACAGGAGTTCATCTTTGCTGAGGGCTTGCTAAGTCCCATAGGTGTGACAGCCACAGCTGAGATAGCTCAATATCCCTGGGGCTTCTGACAGGTAGCTGTGAGAATGGTTTGGGAATTTGGGCCAAGGGCTTCCCTGGTCCACCAAGAGCGAAGGGGATCGGGTTTCCCTGGGAGGTGAGGTCCATCCTCCAGGTGCCCTGTGGTTTCTGTGGTCCTTTCTGCTACCAAAAACTCTCATCACCACCAGAAGAACAGAGAGGGGCAGGAGCTGTGCTTACTAGAGAGAATGGAGAAAAACAGGCTAAGGGTGACATGGGTTCTGGCCTCTTCTGGCAAATTCTCTTTACTCCACTGGCAGGACATTCACTTGGCAGCCCTGCTGGGCCATTTCTGACTTTAAACTTTGGCACCTGGTCTTGATGCCTAAATCCTGCTATTTGCAATCCTCTTATTTTCTTACGTGAGGTATGGGACGATGCAGGCTAAGAATCACATACATTTGATTCCCTCACTTTATGGATTCAGAACTTGGGCCTTAAAAGGCCCCATGTCTGTGAGGAAGAGCCCAGCACCCCCGTCTCTGGGGTGTGCTCCTGTTCCTCCTTGCTCAGCCTGGGGCTGCCGAGGAGTCCAGGCAGAAGTCTCTCCGCTCCCCACCAACACCAGGAGGACATTTAGGGTACTTACACAGAAGGCACCTTTCTTCCACCGATGGCCTTTCAGAGTGCGGTATAGACGGCCGGCAGAAAACCCACCAAATACCCTGTGGGGAAAGGGCGGGATCCAAACCAAGGGGCATCAGCCGCTGCGCAGGCGGTCTGCGCCAGCCCCCAGGGGCCCACTGACACACCTACCCCATGAACATGAACAGGAAGCAGGCTGTGGTCATGAGGGCTCCCCGGCTGGAGGGCGACAGCATCCCGAGCATGGCCACAACTGTGGAGGGACAGGGAGGATGGAGTCAGGGTGGCAGATGGCCAGGCTCCCAGCCCCCAGCCAGGCTGCTTTAGAGGAACTGGGCAGATGGAGGAGAGGTTCCCTGTTCCTACAGAAAATGGGTCTTAGTGGGGGCTCCGAGGTGGGCAGCTGCTGCTGGGCTCAGCTGGCCGCCTCTTTACTGCAGTTCCAGCCCGAGAAGCAAGTGCAACAAGTCAGGCACTAGGCTGAGAGCGCAAAGAGCACGCGCCCACTGAGTCAGCCCTGCCAGGGAGAAGTTCGTTTCTGTCTCTCAGATGAGAAATCTGAGGTTGAGTTAAGTGATCTGTCCAAGGTCATGAAACTTGGAGGCATGAGACAAAAACACAAACTTGGGCAGATTAGTCTATGAGAATACATCAAACGTTTTCATCACAAGGGAAAAAATCTTTATTTAGGCTGACAGATATCAGCTAAACACTGTGGGAATCATTTGGGAACATATACTTACATCAAATCTTTATGTTGTACACCTTAAACTGATGCAATATTGTATGCCAATAAACAAATGGGTAAAATGGTAGGAAAAAAAAATTGGTAGATTGACTTTAGAACTGTCTGTAACTATCTCAGTTTTCTGGTTGTTGAAAGCAAAGGCCTGACTCTAGTCTAACCACACTGACTTGGTTAAGTCACTCCACGTCTGACTGCAAAAGGAGGCCAAGCCGTCAGCAGTGAAGTGTGGCTTCCCCGAAGGCTCGCTGGAGAGCTGCATGGAGACCCACTATCATCCCGGCCTAACGCTAAGACCCAAGTTGTGCTGGCTGGCGGCTCTGACTCAGATGCTGACATGCCCCCTTTTCCCAGGGAGGGAAGCCCACCCTCCTGACACAGACTCTGTCCTCTGCTGACAGGTCCCCCACTCGGCCCCGCCAGGCCCACTCACAGATGACGATGAGGATCATACAGAAGAGCTGAATGCCGGAGCCCAGCAGGGAGCTGAGGATTAAAGGGTACTGGGGGGGCCGGAAGACATCACCATGTACTAGCTTCCATCCAGACTCTTCCATGGTGTCTTCCTGCAGTAAAGGACCAGAGAATGGGGTTGCTTCTTGGGCTTCAGACTAGGCACTCTTGCATGGACCACCCCTATGCATTATGCCTCCCGACTAGGGCCGAGAGTCCCTCCAGCACTGACCAGGAGGGTCTGGCACAGGAGTGAGCAACACGCAAAAGTGCTTCTCAGAGAACTGTCACGTAGAGAACAGGGCACAAACATGAGGCTTATAGCTACATAATAGGAGCATCTCCTTCCCAAGTTCTACAAAACTCGTATGGGGAGAAATAATGTAAACACAACACACTAAAATGTTAACGCTAACAGCTTTTGAGTGATAAGACTAAGAAGCAATTTTTTAATTGATGAAAAGATAGTATGTGATACTCTTGTGTTAAAAAAAAAACAAAAAGTGATTACAACTGAGATGGAAAAAGGCACAAATGATGTAAAAATAAATTACTATATTATTAAAAAAAAGAAAAAATCCTGGTATATGGCACGATGTTTGAATGAACAAAAAGTAATGTTCATTGCAAAAAAGTTTTTCAAAATCCATAGATATAAAAAATGATTTATACTCACCACTTAATGATAGCAGTTTTGATGTATTTCTTTAAGTACTTTATGCATATGTATATATGTAATTTTTAAACAATAAAATTTGGAACACACTGTATTTACTGTAGACTTAAAGCTGATGTTTGATCATGAACACTTCCTCATGTCACTGACCATTCTCTGAAATGACCACTTTACTGTCTGTATAACTTCACGTGGTACAGCTATCCCCTAATACCAACTGTTATGGGAGATTATACTTTACAGTTTGTGATATGTTTGCCAATTACTTTTCAGAAAACTAGCCATCTGCATTTGCACAGCTGGCAAGGGACAATGCTTGACTCCATTCACCTTGCCAACGAATAGCACATGTCCATAAATCTCCGTGAATCCGAGACCCAAACTTTCTTCTCTGGATCACTAGGGTCTGCACTCTGGGGAGTTACCCCTGAGCCATGAACAGTTTCACATGTCTACTAGCCATGGATAGGTCCTCATCCATCAAGTTTCTGTTCATTAGAGATTTTAGGGTTTTTTTTTGAGTTATTTTTTATTTAAAAGATTTGTCTATGTATATAGGAAGTGGGGTACAGGCCAGAGACGTGGGGGTGAAGGGATTCACCAGAGACAGAGTGGGGAGCAGAACAGGCAGATGAACAGAAACACACTGCTGAGGGGAGCAGTGGATGGGTCAGGAGAGGTCTGCTGTGCCGTGTGGGGTCAGCTCCCTGGCAGGGCATCAAACTGTGTTGCAGTGGCTGGCAACAGCTTGGCAGCACTGTCTTTAACCCCTATGCGATGAGGGCGCAGAAAGTCTCAGGGGCCCTCAAAGTTTTTTTTTTTTTAATGGAGATTTTATACCAAAATTTTCAACTATATCATCTATTTCCAAATTTGATGCAAATATTATTTTGCTATTACATGTTCCTATTTTATGTATTCTGACACACAGAGCAGTTATAATATTTATGTCCAATTAACCAAGTTTTTGTTCTGTGATTTCTCCATGATCTTCTCTAGCGCACACACATACACACTCACTCACTGCTGACACGGCTGGCCCCCCGTCCGCTCCAAGCCCACCCCTCCCAGCCAAGACCTCATACAATGTCATCCTCCTTGTTATAGTTGGCGATGTCCTTCCGGAGAGTGCGGATGATAATCATGCTCAGGATGCCTGAAACAGACAGGGTAGCGAGCAGGTAAGGCTCTCGGCTGCCAGAGTCTCGAGCCACAGCCTCCCGGGCTTGCAGTGGCCAACGTGCATGTGCTTTGGATCCTACACTGGGCACAGCTCTACTCCAGCTACTTGGGAGAAGCCAGGGCCAGAGGGGAAGACCTGCTAGGCTGGGTGGGGCAGTCGTAGGTCAATGTTTTTCATTCCAAAGAGAAAAGCATCCTGGCTCCCCTTTGGTTTGGCTCTACAAATTTCTCCAGGGCCACCTCCTCCCAGGCTCACCTCTCACCCCACCTCCTGGCTTTCTGTTGCTTTTAGTTACAGTTGACAGCTTAATCTCTCTTACTTGCTCTGCCTTTGGCCAGGGTACTCCACAAGCAAAGGAACGTCCCTCCCCCCCAACTCCTCACTCATGCCAGACTAACCCACAGCGTCATCATCTGTCAGTGCTCCAAATTGTCCCACTCAGAGCTCCCTAGCAGCACAGTAAAGTGGTGAAGGGACTGGAGCTATGACCTCAGGCTAATTCCGTGTTTTCAGGCTTACACGGCATTTCAAAGACTGAAAAGTTGTCAAGTGCTTATTAGCACAGCAGCTGACTGCTGGGTAGATGTTTAATAAAAGCAGCTGACATTATCTTTATAGATCATGAGACATTAAAATGATGTTTCAACTCCACTTCTGCCTACCATTCTCTCCTCCTTGCTCATCACCCGTTTATCACCTGCAAGACTGTGACCTTGCTGGAACTGTCTTTCTCTGGGTCTTTAATGGTGACTCCTCTTCATTCATCAAGATCTCTTCTAAAGTGGCTGTCACCCTGTCCTCAACAGCTGTGTCTTGACAGTTTTTATCCACAGCTCTTCTCACTATCTGAATACCACTACTTCTGTGCTTGCTAACTCTCCCCACTTCCACACCCACCCCACACAGAGTAGAGCCGTGAAGGCTCAATACCTTATCCCCAGCATAAGGCCCAGCGCCCACACAGAATGAGCAGTAATCTCGAATGAATCAATGAAATGTGTATGTGAACAGATGTACCCGTCTTCCCCTAAGGAGAAGAGCCTCTGAGAAGAGGCTTAATCTTGTTCACCTTTGTATACCCGTTACCCAGCACAGAACCCTGATTCTTGGCCCCCAAAATACCCTAGAAGTTTTCTGTAAGTGATGTGATGTGATGCTTCAGGTCCCACAGCCCTCACTCACATGGCCTCTCTACCCTCCAACCCATGATCTCTCACCTGACAGGAAGAAGACCACAACAACAGAGTTTATGATAGAAAACCAGTGGATCTGCACATCACTCATGGTGAGGTAAGTGTCCCAGCGAGAGGCCCATTTGATGTCACTTTCCTGGAGGGGGCAAAGGAGGAAAAGCACTTAGAACCAGGCCTCCCACTAGACAACTCCTGCCCAGACCAGAACCCTCCTCCCATGCCACAGGGACAGGCTCCTGTCTCTTCTTACCTCCCAGTGTACAGAGTAGGTGAAGTACACCTGATTCTCCTTGGTGGGGTCAATTTCTTGGGGTGAGGAGTTGGTGCCTTCAGGCAGTGTGCACGAACTCTTCTCATCTGTTTTGAGGTCTGTGAGAGACAGAGACTTAAGTCTGTTCCTGTGGGAGCCAGTGTCACCACCCAAGGGCTTTTCCAGGGGCTTCCACAGCAGCCAGCTGATGGTGGTGGTATACTGTTGACACCCTGGGTCCGGGTGGAAGTTGGGAGAATGGCTTTTCAACTGTGCTCCCGGAGCCCTGATCTTAAACAAACTGCTTTAGAGGCTGTAGAGAAGAGGGGTGAGGGGAAGAGGGAGCAGGTGGGAAGTGGGGGGGATCTGAGTCCCTCTTTTAGTCAACTAATCTTCCTTCACTCAATTCAAACATCTTTTACTCATCCAATAAATCCCACTCAACATGCAAAACAACATTTCATTCTATCCCATTTACTCACTTCCTTAGTCCCCATAGTCTCAGTATTTTAGTAACTCAATCACTCCAATGTTTCCCACATTTATTCCTTCCTTCTTCCTGTTATCTGTCCATTCACTCAACCAACAAATGCATAATAAGCACCGACTACGTGCGAGATACTGTGCTGTCCATGAGTGGTAAGAAGGGAGACAGAGTCTTTAACCTTGAAGAGTCAGTGAGGGAGCAGATGATGTCCAGAGTCCCACACTAAGTGTACAGCTGTGCTCGTGACACTCAGCCGGCGGCAGCACGGTGTCCAGAGTACAGGTTCTAAGAGACTTCAGTGTATGGTTGTGTTTAAAAGCTAGGAAAGCCAGAAAGCTACCGTCACTGTGGACAAAAGACTAGGCCTGCTTGACTGATGTGTGCCCCGCGATGAGCCAGGACCTGGCGAAGTCGGGCCAGGTCCTAGCAGACCCATAGGGTGGGGGCTGGGCTTTCAAACTCCCACAACAGTTGCTGACCCTGGGTGAATTTTGGTATATGCCAATCACTCATAGACAGGAGAGACGACCGATAGCCCTGTCTATGTCCTTTTTCTCTCTTATCTTCTTAATTGTCGAAAACGAGCAGGTATTACTTAGAGAGTGAAGGACAAAAACATTTCTTTTGGGCGTCCACTCTGCCCACCTGTGATATGCAGGTGCTTCTTCCTACCTGCTCTCCCTCTGTAGGGCAGCAGCCTCCTGACTGCCCTGACCTGTACCATGCCAGGACTTCTCTGCACTGATCTCCTACAGTGGAGGCTGCTCTCCTAAGATCACCTGCTTGCAACCATGCAGGCATCTCTCTCTCTGCAAACCTGTGCCTTTCAGGGCAGCTCTTCCGGCCCACTTGTGCTTATGCAAGTGTCTTTGCCTTTCCTGTCTCTAATAAACTTACTCTTTAAATAACAAAACAAAACAAAACATTTCTTTTGAGGCATTTCAACTGGTTTTTCAACCTGGGATGAACTAGGTGATTTTTGTGAAGAGGCCCAGCTAAGTCCCAAGCTGCCATGATGTCTTGGCCAGGTCACCAACTTCTCTGAGCTTCCAGTTGCTCATTTGTCATTCCCAGATACCTCCAGGAACTGCTTGAGATGATCAAGTGGTGAGGTGCCCAGCGCAGGACACAACAGATTTCAGTTCTCCCTCATCCACACCTTTTGTGAAGGGAATGACAGCGACCCTACCTGGGCCGGGTCCTTATTTCACACTGGGACCTACCGCCATTTCAGGAATCCAGGGTGAGAAGACCATGGTGTGGAAGCCTAGACCCTTCCAGCCCTACCCCTCTGGTCATACCTCCCCACTCACCCTCCAGCCTGATGCTCTGGGGAATCACCTCGAAGCGGACGACGCGGTATGTGTGCTCCTGGTCCTCTTCCAGGTCCTCCCGATGATAGTAGAGGATAAAGGAGAGGTGATTGTGAAGGTAGATCTAAAACAGAGGAACAGAGACAATGAAATAGATAGTAGCCAAGAAACAACTAGAAAACCCCTCAAGGAGATCATCTCAAGTATTAGGCCCCTCCCCTCATCCAATCACCCCAGCAGTCTCTAAACTATGTTCCCCGAGTGCTCCCCTGCTCCAAACCCTCCAGATCTCCTGGGGGTTTTTTAGCGTGTAAAAGTCCAAATCCCATACCCTGTTCTGACTGGCACCACCTCACACCAGCTCACCGGCCTTCCCTGTCTGCAAACACTGCCTCCACTGCAGCTCCGTGTCAGACACTCACTCCCACTAGAATTGCCTCCACTCAGCCCAAGTCTACCTCGTTTTCAAGGCACACCCCTCCATGACTTCCTGAGCACAAGTTCCCTCTGAGCTCCTTGGGCACTGCCGGTCACAGCAGTGGCACAGGCAGTCAAAGGCCACTTAGACTCGAAACCCTCGATCTTAGGCTGTCAGTTCCCTTCACAGTTAGGATAAAGCCTTCCGAGGACAGGAGCTGTGCTTCCAAAGAAATGTTTTGTTCTTTAATCTCTAAGTAGTGTGTGCTTGTTTCAGAGAAAAAGAATGATGAGAAAATCACTGCTACAATCACTGCCGCTGTCAGAATATTCTCAGAGCCCATGTGTGTGCTGTTAGTGCTTACTTGTGTCATCTGATTTGCTCCAAAGAACAAGTATGGTTATTATCGACATTTTACAGATGGAAACAAAGTCTCAGAGAGGTGAAATAGGTAGCCTCAGTGACATTCCACAACCGATAAGTGACTCAAAACACACAACAGACACTGCATGCTCTTGAGAGCTTCTTTGGAGGTTCTAGCAGGGGAGCGCAGCTACTCGTATACCCTCGACCGAAGACCGGTCCGTCTCTATTCGGGGAAGGCCGTCCTCTTCGACCGAGCGCGCAGCTTCGGGAGGGACGCACATGGAGCGGTGAGGGAGGAAGGGGACACCCGCCTAGCCAGCCAGATCAGCCGAATTAACCCTGGCGATCAATGGGGTGACAGATGTCGCAGCCAGATCGCCCTCACATCCAGACACTGCATGCTCTTGACCAGTACTTAGTTCTCTCCTCTACATAGTGATGAAATTCCAGATTGCCTGTTTGCTTTAATTTAATCAACGTGGACTCTGACGATGCGGGGGGTCAGTGCCTTCCACCTCCCGTGCAGCATCTGCCAGAGCCTTGATCAGAGTCTATCAGAGACTTGACAGATTAGACCCGGGGCTCTGGGAGAAACTTGCCACGATTGATTCCCCCATCTTTTGTGTGTTTAAGTCTACAACTAAATGTCCCCCCTCCTCTGTGGCTCCAAGTGCTCAAGACATTGGGGTATGGCTCCCCAGCTCAATGAGCACACCAAGACACTCTACCTTGTTGACATCCGTGAAGCCAAGACGGTAGCCATGTTCAAACTGCACATCTTTTTCCTTCTTCTTGTCATCTCCATCACGGTTGGAGTAGAGTTCCAGCCGGGTGGCCACAGGCAGGTTGTCGGCAATGCTGGAAACCCAAGGCCCCTGCTCAGTCCCTCTGGATCACCTCTCTCCTCAGTGCCCTCCCTATATGAAATAGAGGCCAGCAGGGAGCAGAGGACAACTTACAGGTGGACGTAGTAGTCCTCTGTGATCCGCTCAGCCACGAGCCGACTCTGTTCCACAGTCAGGGTCACTGGTTCCTTAGACTTGCTGCACAGAACTTCACACTTCTTTTCACTGTTCATGAGAACCTGGAAAGGGGTGTTGACAATCCGGTCCCCTCTCAGCACCTCTCCTGCCATAAGAGAGACAGATGGAGCTCAGAGCTTTAGCTCTGAGGTTGCTGAGGTCAGCAGAGACACAGAGCTGACTTGCAAGGCCCTCGCAGTTCTGCAGCCTGGCACTCGGAGATCTATCTCATCTGTTCCTGTTCAGCTTGCCCATTTGACACCACCTGTCTTCCTCTCCCCTCACCTCGTGTTCTAGCACCATAAGGCTCTTCAGACATGCCATATCATTCCATGCCTCGGGTCTTGTGTCATTTTCTTTGCCTGGAGTCCCTGTTCTACATCTTGGGCAACCCCCTGCACTTTGAGCTCAGCTTCCATTTTGCTCTCCAGAAAGTCCATTATCTGACCTCTTCAGGTCAGATTCTACACAGAAGCAGCATCATGCAATGGCAGAGACAAGAGGCCACCTACTGAATGCCAGCTTGCCACTTACTAGCTTAGCGATCTTGCTAAGTCCTTTGACTTCGCTAAGCCTCAATTTCTTTATCTATAACGTGGGAAAAGAGAACTCAACTCACAGGGCGACAGTGAGAAATAAAGTACCAGGCACAAAGTAGGCAGGCAACAAAATCCTATTCCTACCATCGACGTTACCTCTGCACTTTTTCATATGTTGATGACGTGACACTATGATGGAATGTTAAAATTTCTGCCTACCCCAACTATGAGAGCTTTCACGGAAGACAGACTTTCTTACTTCTTCTCCCTGTATCTTTAGATTCTGGTTCAGGCAGTGAGGCAACTAAAGTAAAACCCAGCACCTGAAAATTTTAGCCAAAACATCTTTTCACTTGGCGAAGTGGCATGCCCTCATGTGCCTACTGCCTCAGATGTTGCACCAGCCGGTACGGGCAGCTTAGCATCAACTAAACCCAATGATGCTCTCATTCCAAGCTGTTCAAACAAGTCTACTGAATGTTGCAAACTGGGGCAAGCCCAAGGAACAAGCAACACCAGTATAAGGACTAAAGCCTCTATGTGCACTTGGTAATCACCTGCCTGCTAATGTGGATCCATGGGGCTCTGCCTAGCCTGCCCCCTGCCGCCTTCCCTCCTTTCTATTCAAATCATGAACTAGGGATTGGCGGTGGGTCAGACCCTAAGGATATAATGCCGAACAGACATACTCATGGATCTTTTTATTTTTTAAAGATTTATTATTTGTGCAAACAGAACTGGGGTACAGGCCAGAGGTGCAGGGGTGGTGAGGGGATTGACCAGAGACAGAGTGGGGAGCAACAGGGAGGTCAGGAGAGGTCTGCCTCCCCGTGTGATCACCTCCAGGGCTGGGGAATTGAACTCACATTAAAGTGGCTGTGGCCCACTTGCAGTGCTGTGCTTTAACCCACTGTGCCACCAGGGAGGACCTTACTCATGGATCTTAGTGGCCTTGTGTGAAGGCAGAAAAACAGAATGACCAGGATAATGAGAATACACTATATAACAGGAGGAACTTGTTCTAGATATGGGGAGTAGGTCTAGGAAAGTTTCTGAGGAAGTGATGCTTGAAGTAAGCACTAAAAGAAGAGAGGCATCAACTAGGTAGGCAGTGGGGGAAGACGATTCTAGACAAAAGCAACAGTATGTACGCAGGCCCCTTGCGGGTGGAGGAAATGTAGTGAAAGCTGAAAGGCCTGTGCAGCTGCGATGCAGAGTCCAAGAGGTCAGCTGGAGAGGCCAGCCAGACCGGGCCCTCAGCGGATGGTAGGCTGCACTGGAAGTGGGTATTTATCTAGGAAGTAACAAAAGTCATGCAGGGTGTCTAACAAGGGCAGAGAAAGACATCACCTGACTCTGGTTACAGGCCACTCTGGCCACTCTGTGATGAAAACAGAGAAGTGCAAGGACGTGGCTAGCGAGGGGTGGCAGTAGGCCGTACAAGTGAGCGGTGAAGGAAGCTGGACTGGAGGGTTCGGTGAGGGTGGGAATAAGTACATACGTTCAGAAGCTACCGGGGAGAGGAAGTCTAGGGACGTGGTGCTCACTAAAAGAAAGGAGTAAAAAGCAGTGCATACTGGGAACACGCTAGGTTCCTACAACCAGAATGTAGGTGGAAAAACAGGAAGAGCAAATTTAGACTGAAGGCAATTCTTCCATTTGGGTCAGCAGAGCAGGCATGGGCAATTTAAGGCTCAGAGGAGAAGTCAGGACTGCAGACGGAAGCCATGACTTGCCGGTACACCGCTAGCAGGAAGAAGGCCGCAGGCCACGCTGGGGGGCAAGTACCCAGCAGCAGCCCGGCCAAGTGTGGGTGAGGCCACCGAGGAGAGGGGGAAGGTAGCGAGGCTCCTGGATGAAGCTATCTTCCCCCTTTTAAAAGCCTAATAATACAGGTGAGTCTGCAAAGACCGGGAGTGGAGACCAAGGATACTGGCAGGACCTCTGTGTGGCCTCCTGCTGATGATTTAGGTCATCGTTTGCTGCTGTTTTACAGATGATGATGAAGAGAGCCAAAAAGGGACAGTGGTTTCCCAGAATCCAGAGGGCAGCAGTGCCAGCCCTGGACTGTCCTCTGTACCATGCCCTGCTGCCCTTTGTTCCCCACGTCAACCAGAAGCTTACTCGAGGAGAGGAAGAACATACAGACAGAGGAAAAGGCCTGCAGACCAAATGAAGAGGGTGTCACTTTTTGACATTCAGAAATTCAATTTAAACCACAAAGGGGACAAATTGGTCTGGAGTGGCTCACTTCTAATCTGGAAGTATTCCTTTAAGTTTTACAGCTATCTAGTCACACGGAAGGAGCAACAAGCTCTAAGGCTCTAGGAGAGCCCGATGTACACTAGCACATCTGCCAGGGATGCGTCAGCACACTCTGATCTGAATGGCCACAAGTCACAATCATGGGCATAGCCCTCAGACAGCCCAGTTGAGCCTAAAGGAGCCTGAGCAACAGGGAGAATCTGACGTTAGAGCTAAACAACTCGGGCTAGCAAACTATAAATTAGAGACATCCTGCAGGGGAGGAGGAGAAAGAGATCAAAACAGGGGAGGGAAGAGCACAAGAGACTATGGTGATGGTTCATGGGTGACTTGATGGTAGGAAGTTTATGGGGATTATATCTGAGAGGAGAAACCAGATATTGTACAAAAAGGAACAATGATGTAACAATGGTGACACACACACACACATTTAATTATATTTTAATATGAAAAACAAAACTGGGCTTCCCTGGAGGTGTAGGGGCTAAAATCTCAGCATTATCAAGCTATCACCAGCATGAGTTCAATTCCTGACCAGGGAGGTGACCCACACGGAGCAGCAGACTTCTCCTGTCTTGCCCACTGCTCCTTTCAGCAGTGCTTCAGTAGGTCTGACTGTCCTGCTCCTCACTCTGTCTCCGGTGAATCCTCTCACCACTCCCCGCCCCCAACACTGTGCCCCAGTTCTTGTATGCATAAATAAATCAATCTTAAAAAAAAAAAAAAAAAAGAACAAAACCTGGGCTGATATCACTATTTCTCAACCTGTTGGCCACAAGGCCCCAAGCAAGTCTTAAAATCTTCTGAAGTTGCTGTTTTCTCTACTATAATAAGGAAGCAACCACATTTGACTGCAGTTACTGTAAAACTCACTAACATGTGCAGAACATGGTGTTTCAGGATATATACTCTGGAGCCAGAGTTGCGGGGGTCTGGCCACTTACTAGCTGAATAACCTAGGACAAGTGGCTGGCCTCCTTGTGTTCACTTCCCTTATGGTAGAAGTTTATAAGAGCAGCTGTCTCAGCGGGCTAGTGTACAAATTAAGTAAGTTTAAGCAAAGAAGTACTTAGAACAATGTCAGGCTCACAGGAAGAGGCCTAGTAGTTAATGGTGACGATGATGATAATGTAGAGAATCAGGCTTACAATCCAACAGTTATTCAACCAAAAATGGTTCTGCTCCATTCAGGTAGGATGTGAACGCTTACTGAGTCCAGCAGCAGTGTCAGGCGCTAGGTCAGAATTGGCAAAGAGAAATGAATGTAAGATATGATCCCTCTGCTCAAGGAGCACCTGGACCAGGAAGGGAGGCACTACAGAAGGACAGACTGAGCTACAATGTGGCAGGAAACTTTTCACATAGATGTCTCCATTTCTATGCAGTAGGAGCATTTCCCAGCTTCACAGAAGATCAGTAGAAACTCAGAGGTTAAGGCCACCTAGTGTCATACTGAGGTGCCCAACTGTGGCGCCCTGGCTGACTAGTCCACACCTGCCAAGAGAGGAGCTGCTGTGAGGGCCTGTGTCAGGATGCCTGGAGACCAGGTCAGGCTCCCCAGGAAGAGGCAAAGTGACCAGGACAAAGGTGGTGTGAAGAGAATAAAGAAGGGTAAGGGCTGGCAGGAGGGGCACCTATCAGTCAGTGGAAATCAGCCCAGGGCTTGAGAGCAATCTCTGTTCAACAGCACGAAGTCATCAGGGATACGCGCTATTGTCACTTGAAGTCAAACTGGCTCCACAGCCTGCCTCCAGCAGGTCTGGACACCCAGTACCTATCGGTAAATACATTTGTCTGCTAGGGATTCTCGAAACATCTGAGCCATGCGTATGTCTGAAAGAGAAGGCAGCCCCTTCAGGGCATGCTCTGTTCTCTCCTTTAGCTATACTAGGCTAAAAGAAGAGGAAAGTCTTTCAAGTTCCTTGTGGTCCAGGAGAGCATCTGTTCATGTTTTTATCTCTGGGACTTAACCCAGAGTCAGGCACAGAGGCATTAACAATTGTGTCCTGAATAATAACTTCCAAATGTCTTTTCCTTTTAAGCCTGCAATTCTGCCAAATAATTATTTGAATTAGAATAAAATGGGTACTATTTATGGAACTCTGTGTCAGACAATGGGCTGGGCTGGGTGCTTTACACATTATTTGAGGCAAGTTCTTGCATAGCTTAGCAAGATCTATGGTAACTAGAGTTCTTATCTAGAACTGTTTCCTTTAGGGCCAAAGCTAATCACTCACTCTTTTAATTAAAGCAAAGCACGTTACAGAAGCCACAGGATATTTAAAAATCAAGGGAGAATTGTCTAACACCAAGTCTGTTGAAGTCTGACTACGTGAAACCCAAGCCCAGCTTAGGCACTCATTACAGCAAACAGGAGGCAAGTCACCGAACTTGTTAAATAAGAATAAAACCAGCAACTACCTCCCTACCCTTGTTATGAGGGTTAAGTAAGCTAATAAACTATGTAGGACAGTCTCTAGCACAAGTAAGTGCCATACTACATAAGGGTTCACTGCTTTTATTATTATGATACCTGGGTTCCCCTGTGGGGCAGGTTGAGAACAGTATGAGGGAAGAGCACTTACCCAGATTCTCTGCCTTGTAGGTTATTTTGGTGGGCTGGCAGAAAGGCAGTGAGTAGTATTCGTAAGGTAGCTGGGTTCGAGAGCTGGTAAGCTTCACAGCCTAGTAGGAGAAGAGAGGTGGTCATGCCTTAATCCAGAAATAGAGACGATGGCTGCAATGCACACCTTCAACGTGTTCAGCAATACCTGATGAGTGAACTGCGGCACACACAGTGCAGCATACTGTACACGATGCGACCTACAATTCTCATTTACTTCACATTTGTTTAGTACTTTATAGATTTTCTTAAAAACCACAACCAAATTCAATATATACTGAGCATCTTCAACATGCTGATATCCTTTGACCCTATAATTTCATTCCTGGGTAGCTTTCTTAAGGAAGTAACTGCAAACGAGCAGTCAGCCACCTGATTCCTAAGCAGAGTGGCCTTCTGCCTCCAGTGTCTCAGAAGCCCAGTTCTCTTGCCTCAGGCTTTGCCGCTGCCTCTCTGCCTGGCTCTGCACACCTCTGGTCCTTCTTACATGTAGGTCTCAGCTGAAATCCCCTCAATCTGGAGATCCTTCCCACATCATTGTCTCTAAAAGAATTCCTCCATTGTTCTCTATTTCAATACTCCTATATAAGGGCTTGCTAAAATGGAAATATTTTGTTTACCTGTTGCTTTTAAAAATCTGTCTTCCCGGGCCGTCCCTGGTGGCACAGCGGGTTAAAGCACAGCACTGAGAATCTAAAAAGCTGCTTCTGCACGAGTTCGATTCCTGCCTGCCCTGGAGGTGACCACAGGGCACGGCAGACCTCTCCTGACCCGCCCGCTGCTCCCCTCAGCAGTGTACTTCATCGATCTGCCTGTTCTCTCTCTGGTGAAGCCTCTCACCGCCCCTGAGCCTCTGGCCTGTACCCCAGTTCTGTATGCACAAATAAATAGATCAATCTTTAAAAAAAAAATCTGTCTTCCCAATGGAATTTAAGATTTAAGCTCTGCTAGGGCAAGGACCATGTGTATTGTTTACCTTGCTAAATAAACTCAGTGCCTAGAAAAAAGAGGCACAGAATAACTGCTCATTAAATGTTTACTGAATGACAGAAGAAAAAATGGAAAAACAACAAAAAGCCCCCACAATTGGGAAACCATAATATATTCATTCAACCAAATATCACACAAGCATTAAAAATTGGTTGATCTGCCTGTTTTGTTCCCAACTCTGTCTCTGGTGAATCCTCTGACCCCCGCCCACCGCACCTCTGGCCTGTACCCAGTTCTGTAAGTATAAATAAATAAATATATATATATTTTTAAATGAGGGTTAAGAAGACCATGAAGAATGTTTAGGAAATGAGGTAAAGCACACAGAATATAGATTTGGAAATAGTGACAGTCACAGACAACCCCCCAAACACAGACAAAACAGAACCAGTTAAATTGTTGCACAGAATAAGTTTTAATCTAAATATAACAAAATTTATCTTTAATATTTAGGAACTTTTCAATCATTCCTTATATACTATAAAAATATGCATAGTTTTAGAATTTGGATCCATAACCCCTATTTAAAGCTTCTGCTTTTGAGTTAGGCGTTGTAGAGACATTAGAAAGGCAATGTGATAAAATATACTGCAGGTTTTATAACACTACCCAACTAGCTTTGGAGCAACACTCCATAGACAAGTGCATAGGAACTGCAGAAATGCCCACACAGGGGCCTCCCTGGTGGTGTAGGGTTAGTCTCAGTGCTATCAAGCTATTGCCAAACACTGCAGCTCGAGTTTAATCTGCAGCCAACGAGCTGACCCACCTGGCCCGTAGGCGTCTCCTGTCTCTCCTGCTGCTCCCTCAGCAGTGTATTTCAGTAGATCTGCCTGTTCTGCTCCCCACTTTGTCTCTGTTGAATCTTCTCACCACCACCACCCCACCTCTGGCCTACACCCTAGTTCTTGTATGCATAAATAAAAATAAATCTTAAAAAAAAAAGTTATACCCACACAAAGTGGGAAGGGTCAATGAACAGTCTCATGTCAGTTCAGTTCAGGGTTTGCCTATAACAAGTTTAGAAAAACTTAGGGTTGCAGAGTTTTTTAGATGAGAGACTGAGGGACTGAAGACCTCTAGTAAGTATTTCATGAACTATTTAACACAAAATGGCCAAGAAGTTACTGTCCATTAGAATAGCCTGTTATTTTGTATTACTTCTTTTCCTGGACAAAAAACCCCAAACAAACAAATAACCATCTTGCAAAGAGAAACTCCCTTTTTCTTTTCCCCTGGCAGACCTGCAAGCAAACATTACCCTGTCCCCTGTTTGGTAAAGGCATTGGGAAGAAGGGTTCTGCAGTGGTTAAAAGATGGGACTCTCTTGGTCCTCCCTGGTGGCGCAGCGGGTTAAAGCACTATACTACGAAGCTAAAGCCACTTCCGCATGAGTTCGATCCCCGCCTGCCCTGGAGGTGACCACATGGTGCGGCAGACCTCTCCTGACCCGCCCGCTGCTCCCCTCAGCAATGTACTTCGTTGATCTGCCTGTTCTGCTCCCTGTTCTCTATCTGGTGAATCCTCTCACTGCCCCTGCACCTCTGGCCTGTACCCCAGTGCTGTAAGCATAAATAAATCAATCTTAAAAAAAAAAAAAAAAGATGGGCTCTCAACTCACCCCGTCTTCCTCACATGTGACCTTGGGCAGGCTGGTTCACTTCCCTGGGCCCTAATTTTCTTATCTCTAAACACATAGTAGCTGCCCCAGAAGGCTCTTGGGGGACACCCTGAACTAAGTGATACATAAAATCTAGCACGTAAATAACCCTCCGTAAATTTCATATTGCTTTCATATTGCCTCTGAAAGTTACAAGTCCTGCTTCCAAGGAAGGTAAGCTCATGAAAATGCGACACTTTCATGCTGCATGTATTCATTACGCTGGTTCCCAGTGAGGTCACCAACGGTTGTTGCTCAGACAGCTTGATTCACCCTGCCATGCTATGCAGCAGGCGCTTGTGATACAGTGACAGAGACGGGTAAGATCCAGTCCTTTCCAAGCTGTATAGAAGCAGTTCTCATTTTCCTACAAATGTATTATTTATATTTTTAATCTTTGAACTGGCTAAACTCCCTGGATAGTCAGAACTTGCTTGTATCTGATGCCCCAAGTCAGCCTGATGAGTAGCTATTTGCAATTCTGCTAATATTGAAAATAAACTGGCAAACAAAGGAACACGTACAGGACAGCATGGCACTTGTGATTTTCTTGTCTTCTGCTCTCTTTTTAAACATGTGATGCTCAGCCCAGGACAAAAATCTTACTTTTCATGCACTCACTGTGCTTTGTTTTTGCACAGAGCAGTAAAGATGTGGTTCATGATGACATGCTAATGAAGAAGTGAATATTTATTTTAGGAGCAGAATTTATTTTTATACCTCTGTAATGTGCTAATCCTTTTTACAGATTCACTAAGGATCTGAGGAGAACTTTAAAATTTCAACTATATGTTATTTTGTCTACAGCAGATTCATGGAGATGGGAGAATGCCAACTACCCTAGAATCTTTACACTGCCTAGGAAAAAAATATTAAAATACACACCCAAGTATTAAGAGTGGTTATATTCTGGGGATAGTTGAGGGAACCTAACGACGACAGGCTTAGGCCACCCCTCTTCCTGGGGGCAGTCATTCTTCCATGACTGGTCCATGGAGGGAGGAGGGAACCAGTCCTCTTATCTTAATCTGTAACAATTCTGAAGGGCCATTCCAGTTCCAGTGCTTTCCAGTAACGTTCAACTATTACATCATAATTCAACGTCTCCCTTCGCCCAGCTCCATTTCCCTCCATTCCTGCCATGTGCTGACCCCAGGAGCTGCCCCAATGAGACTTCTGCACAGTGTCAGCTTTAGAGTTTGTTTCCTGGGAAACCACAACCAAGAAGGTCCACCAAACCCCCTCTAAAGTCTAGCTGTGGCACTAGGAATGCCACAAGAGGTTAATCAAGGTGCCCCTTGCCCCGATCAACCATATTTTACACTAAGAGACTCCACGCCCTGCCCACTTCCTGCCACAGCTGATTAAGCCACAGATGGGCGACTAGCCTGAAAAGCTGAGGTGGGCTGGTTGGACAGCTCCCTATTGACTCCATGATGTTAAGCAATGTTTCATAAACCCTAACTGTGTACAGACTAACTCATCCTCTCTGTCTATCTACCACTTATTTGTCTCTGACTCATTTTTAGGTAAATACATTTATTTAAGAAGCAAACACTTTATCTCCATTAAACATGAAAACCAACAAAGAGTCATGAAATCATGAGTTAAAGTACTAGCTATATTTTCTTACTTATATTGAAAGTCATCTCATATGCTACCACTCAGTTGGGAGAATCCAGGGGTGGAAGGAAGTAAAATTGAAATAACAGTTGTGACAATAGGTCTTATATGCAGAGAAAGCTGGTAACAGAGAGGAAGATGGAACTGATGAAATGGGAGGCAGAATTGTCATAGAGAAAGAAGCAGGATGAGAGCGAGCCATGGAAAGACATGGAGAGAGACATACAACTCAGAGCGGGAGAGAAGGAAGGAAAGCAGGAGGGAGGGGGGAAGGAGAGTGTGCGAGAGAGTGTGCGAGAGAAATATAAAGAAACAGCAAGAAACACACACAGAGCCAGAGACAAGAGAAAGAAAGAAACAGAGAACATGCAGGGGCTGCGGAGGCTCCCAGAGCTCGGGGCTACCACTGATTTCAGCCGCTGCAGCAGGCAGTGAACCCTTTTCCCAGGTGAGTGCTTTGTTCTTTGCCTGACAAGAGGGAAATGACCAGCTCACCATGCTCCCCCAGCCAGGGGGCCCAGCACAGAGGCTCTGATTGTCCAGGAATGAACTTACCTTGATTTCTACAGGATCGTTCTGGTGGAAGTTGGTTGGTGCGACCCCGGGGACATAGAAAGCGCTGGTTTCACTCGTGAGAGAGAGAAGCAGCAGGGACCACGGCAACCAATCCTGCTTAGGAGAAGAGACCCTGTGGTCAGAATGGGAGCAAAGAAGTAAACATTCCCCTGGAGGAGACCAAGTTATACCACCATCACATCAGCTTTAACATGGTCTTGGCCTCACTGGGAAACTGGACGCCCTTGGAAGTGTTGCCTCCCAAAAGCTCCCAAGAGTTCTGCAAGGGATGGAGTCTGCACTTGCAGAAAGGAGAGGAGGAGAGGGTTAGGGGCATCGACCTCCCTGCTCCCTGAAGCTGACAATCTGCATGTTAATTTTTGATTCCTCCAAAACTTTTCTAGTAGCTGTCAATTTATATAAATTTTGTATGTTCTATGTTATATATGTATTTTTTAAAAGATTTATTTATTTATTCACACAGAACTGGGGTACAGGCAGAGATGTGGAGGGTGAGAGGATTCACCAGAGACAGAGTGGGGAGCAGAACAGGCAGATCGACGAAATACACTGCTGAGGGGAGCAGCGGGCGGGTCAGGAGAGGTCTGCAGCGCCATGTGGATCTCCTCCGGGGCAGGCGGGGAGCGAACTCATGCGGAAGTGGCTCTAGCTTCTTAGTGCGGTGCTTTAACCCGCTGCGCCACCAGGGAGGGCCCTGCTATATTCTTTTTTAAAGATTTATTTATTTATGCATACAGAACTGGGGTATAGGCCAGAGGTGCAGGGGCGGTGAGCAGAGTAGGGAGCAGAACAGGCAGATTGACGAAGTACACTGCTGAGGGGAGCAGAGGGCGAGACAGGAGAGGTCTACTGCCCCATGTGGTCACCTCCGGGGCCAGGGCTCAAACTCACACTGAAGCGGCTGCGGCTCACTTGTAGTGCTGTGCTTTAATCTGCTGCGCTACCAGGGAGGGTCCTGTTGTATTCTTAAAGTAAAGGAAGCTAGAGAATAGAAAGTGTTAAGACAATCTGAGCGTATTATCAGATAGGTCCTTATCCTGTTATCATCATGCTGAGTAAGCTGAGGAAGAGAAGTGTGTAAGTGGACCAGTACATGTAGCTCATGAGTCAACTGTGCCGAACATCAGATGTCACTTCCTTAGAGAAGCTTTCACTGACTACACTATTATAAAGCAGCATCCTCAGGGCTCCCCTCCCCCATACCGCAACCCACTATTCTATTTACTTCATTTCTCTGTATGGATTTACTTACTGAATGTGCACAACATGCATTTGTGTATCATCTGCCCCCTTGCACCAAAATGTAGTGGTCGTGGCAGCAAGGTAGTGTTCTTGGAGCCTGGCACAGGGCAGGTACCCAGGAGGTAATCTGCCCACAGGACAGTCATCCGGGGATGAAAGGCAAGAAAGATCAATTACTGGCCTCTATCAAAGCTTCTATTTCCCTTCATTAATTACAACACTTCATACCCTCAAAGAATCTTCCAATTCTTGTCTGGCCTGATCAAAGAACTTTTGTTGCTCGCACACTCTGACTCTGATCACCACGCGATTATGCTCCTGCTTCCTCCTATCAGACACTGGCCACAGCTTCTATATCACTTTACCTGAACAGACAGTCCCACCACCCTTCAAGTTATAATCCCCACATACAGATGGTTCTTTCTGGAGTTCAGTTTCATAAGGCGTCAGACTCATTGAGAGGAGGGCTTGCCCAAAATGTCGATTCATCTGATTTCTACTTGGATGACAAGTTGAGAAAAGATGGCTTTAAAAGTTTAAAGTTCTGAGCATAGCACACTTTTTATAGATACACAGACAGGTCAAAGTCATAAAAGCAATATGTTCATAAAGAGCTAACCCTCTCCAATACTTTGTCTCCCTTGTCCCTTCCCCAACCCAATGCTTTCCTTTTCTACTAAAAAACCACAGTAGTAGTCAGTATAGTATTTGTGCTTTACTTTTGGTTTCTTTTGAACAGAATGATAAAGGGAAGCTACTTTTACTAAGTATTAAAATAGAAAGCTATCCAAACTGCTCACTACTGGAAAAAACAATACTGAAACATACAAATATATGGACATATTGTGACATGGAAAGTTGTCTAAAAATGAAACAAAATCCACAAGTTATAAAGAATGGGTATGTAGGAAGGAAAAGGAAAAAATATAGACCATGGAGAAAGAAAATTTGGGTAACAATATTTATCACACATCTGACAAATTACTAAGATCTTATGTTTAGAAAATCCTAAGGCATAATAATTATGAGAACTAATAAGCACACTGAACAGTTGCATACCACCAGATAAATATCTAAAAATTAATATTTCCCACATGCTAGCAACAATCCAAAAACAAATTTAAGAAAACAGTCCCATTTACAACAGCTTTGCAAAGAATAAAATATTTAGTAATAAATTTTTAAAAAGATTTACATACTGAAAAATAAAAAATATTGCTATGAGAAATGAAAGAAGATTTAAATAACTGGAAAGACATTCTATATTCACTGACTGGAAGACTCCATTAATTCTCCCAAGTAGATCTACAGATTCAATACAATTCCTGTCAAAATCCCAGCAGGCTTTTTTGCAGAAACTATTTATAAAACCATAAAATTTATATGAGAATAAAGACCCAGAACATCCCAAACAACTTTTCAAATTTAAGTATTTTTATTACCTAATTTCTAAGTTTACTATAAAGCTACAGTAATTAAGACAGTGTGACTAGGATGTACAAAAAGAAAAAAAAAATCAATGGAATAGAATTAAAAGTCCAAAAACAAACCTTTGTAGAAAACTGATCTTTAACATAGGTGCCAAGGCAAGTCAACAAAGATAAACAGTCTGACAAATGGTACTTGGAAAATTGGGTAACGACATGTAAAATAAACTTCACAACATACATAAAAATTAACCCAAAGTTACTCATAAATCTAAAAAACAAAAGTTAAACTCTAACTTCTAGATTAAAAGCTGGGAGAAAATGTCAGTGACCTTGGGTTAGGCAAAGGCATCATCTTAGATACAATACCAAAAGTAAAACCTGTATTTAAGAAATTGACAAAATGGATTTCATTAAAATTAAAAACTTTTACACTTCAAAAAGGTACCATGGAGAAAGATACAAGTCATAGAACTCTCTGTAAAGCATACATCTGATAAGGTACTTATATCCAGAACATATAAAGGAGGACTTTTACAACTTTGTAAGACAACCCTTTACAAACAAAGGGCACACACTTTTGCAGCAACATGGATGGAGCTGGAAAAGACCATGTTTAGTGAAATAAACCAGAAAGAAAAGGAAAAATACCGAGTTTCTCCCATAGCAGGAATATAACGAACATGCTAGAAAATAATAATAATAATGAACAGCTGTATACCAGAGACATTTTATGGGGGTGGAGTGGGGACTGGGATCAAAAACAGTGGGGGAGGAAAATGCACTGGATATGGTGATGGCACACGGGTGATGTGGTGATGGGAAGCCCATGGGGATTGCAACTGAGATGGAAAAAGGCACAAAATGATGTAAAAATAAACTATTATATACTTTTTAAAAAAGTTAGAAGTTAAAAAAAAAAAGGGCATACAAACAAAAAACCCAACCCTTCCTCTGTCCCCTCACAGCCTGAGAAAGGATGCTTGACCTACAGTTCATTTCTATAAAGGAGTGAGGGGTAGCCAAATACCTGCTTCCTGGGAATTGCCTTTGTATGTTTCTTTACTTTTTAATGCTAGGGCCAATCTGAAAAGTCAGTTGAGTATTTAGCAAACATGTTTTGTATGGCTGTAACCATGAAAGAAAAGTATCCTAAGAGATGTGAAGCAGACCATTCAACGTTATTTTGCTTTAATTGGTTTCCAAGTCACGAAACTACAGAAGCGGCATGTCAAGGAGCAAGGTGATGGCAATCTAGAAACCCTTTCTACTGCCACCTAACACCCTATCACTGGCAGAGATACAGGTGACCTGGAAAATTACACCGTTCAAGAGACCCAAAATCAAGGTCATGCCTTCCCTATCTATTTTATTCTTGGGAACCAGAAAGACTCTCCCAAACAGTACAATGAAGGACTGCTAGAACTAAATATCCCCTTAAACCCCCCAAGTTTCCCCCATCCAGTTTGAAAGGTATGAAAAATTAGCTTCTTTCAAAGAAAATAGGAAGTTTCCCCTGAGAACTGAAAATTATTTCAATCACTCACATTTCTTGTGGCCCAAAGTTAACCTTTAGTTAACCTCTTATTTTCTGGAGCCCTTGCCTTGCATCTCCTTTCCCATAAATAGCATCACCTAATGATACAGTCTGGTCAAATGATCAAACTTTTTGGTTCCTATTCTATGCCTTTCCTGCTGCAAAAACAGCACCTTTCTTATCTGTAAGGCAGAGAGAGTGTCCTTTTTCTTTCTCAAAAATTCAGTCATCATTTAAGACCACTTAGCTAGCAATCATTCCCTAGATTAAAAAAAAAAAAAGTGCTTTGGGGGGTTGAGTTTGCTAACAGCTAACTGAAATCAATTACCTAATCACTTAAAGCTCCCCAAGAATTCAACCACACACTGGGGATGGCCACTGACAACTAAATATCACTTACCAAGCAGCCCTGCAGAGCTCAAGAACTCAGAGTAAGACGACAGACTCAAAGTAGCTGCAGGAGACTCTGAACATGTAGCCTTACTTCAGAGCCCACAAACACAAAGCAGCAATACATAAGACTCAAAGCCTTTCTTTGGGGGTAGGGAAAAACCCACAGCAGCCTATGGCAGCCCAGGTAAACCCTCACCAAGCAACAGGCACCCAGATCTAAACCCTGAGGCCAAAAACGTACAGAAATAAAACCCATGAATTGTGCAGACCTTAGCCCAAGCAACAGGCCTATGTGGTTTACCTCTGGAACACGTCAAACCTTGGCGCGCAAAAGTTACAGAGAGCCCTCTGTGTGTGGCACTTCATGTTTAGAGGAGAGTACCACCCTCATTCAAAAAACAAAAAAGAGAAAATGACTTCACGTGCACCGGCCACACAGGCTGGGGTCCTGGGTGCACAGTGTAAATGGACTAAAAGACTCTGGACGCCACACT